CTCTGTTCCCACCTCCTCTCCATTTCTTCCATTTGGGCTTGAATTGAGGCTTGAACTCGGGCTTCCATCTTGACTTCCAATTCACTCCTGATTTCTTCCCGAAGAGCCTGCACCCTGTTTTCCATCTGATCCTACATCTGAGAAACAAGGGAGGGCGTGTACTGCTGGGAAGATGTGGAAAGTCGGCCATTTGGCTGCCATAGTAAAGGTCAGCACTTCCGCCAAGTCCCTTCACACGTCCTTTTTTGTTGCGACCACCCACGGTTTCCCAGTACAGCTCATTCGGACTCTTCTGAATCCTTTGAGTGCTAGCCTCCTCAACCTTCTTTTGGTAGGCCTCCTACAAGATAAACATATGAAAAGGAACAACCGAGTTAGTAAGTTATATAAATAAGCTTTGGGTACCATATTCATGAAAAATAAACCAAGTAACATGACATAAGTGACTTCTACTTAGCCCAATTACTTCATTTCTTAGAAAATGAGCTCTTTTTTTCTCATTCCATATCAATTAAACATACCAATTATCTGTAGGAATTTTTTAAAGGAAAATAGTCTGTCGGAGCAAATCCGTCGAAAAAGGCCTATTTCTAGTAGTGTTTGCTGTAGTACAATAAAAAAGCACATGGATGATTGATTCAACTCCATCGTTACACTCCCTACACAGCTCATCCCCTGAGATATGTCTTCGAAAGAGCTCTTTCTTGACCGCCACACTCCTCTTGCACATCCAAGCTTCCAAATAATATCCCAAGCTTTCATTCTTTCTTCATCAGCCACACCACTATTGTGGCCTATCCTTCCAAACCAATACCCAGATTTTACATTATAAATGTCATCTTTTGATGGCCCCCAAAACAGTGAATCGTTAGACATTGAAAAAGCTAAGGGTATTTTAATAATGGAATTATAGTCGTCAGCTGAAAATAGCTCCCGCAGCATGTCCTAATACCAGCTAGCCGAAGGTGCATCAATAAACTTTAATACCCGTAAATCCGGGTCATAATGCAGACCACATGTAGGAGCTTTTGCTGGTTCCCCAGGCAACCATGCATCTAACCAAACACGAAAAGTTTCTCCATTTCCTATCCTCCATCGAAGTTCGTCTAGCAGCAAAGATTTGGAACCCCATAACCTACGCCAAGTATAACTTGGATTAAAACCTCTATTCGCCTTCAGAACCGAGCTGTGTTTAAATAATGAGCCTTTAAGATTGCATGGAGTAAAGAGGACTGATCCGAAAAAATTTGCCACATTTGCTTAGCTAAAAGAGCTTGGTTCAGAACTTTAAGGTCATGAAATCCCATACCGCCCATCTACTTTGGCCTGTATAAATCTTCCCAACTATGCCAATGCATTTTCCTAGCCGAATCCCCACCCCACCAAACCGTGCTAGAAGTGACTGAATCTCATCGAGTAGTCCATCAGGAATTTTAAAGATATTCATCATATACGTCGGAATTCCCTGGGCCACGACTTTAATCAGTATTTCCTTTCCAGCTCTCGATAATAATTTCTCCTTCCACCCTTAGATTTTCTTCCAAATCCTCTCCTTTTATCCTCCAAAAATCATCTTTTTCGATTTTCCAATGATAGTAGGCATTTCTAAGTACCTCTTTAACTCCAAAAATATCAACTATTTCTTGTCGTGTTGACGAGTCTACACATTTACAGAAAACCACATATGTTTTATTTAGGTTGACACTTAGACCGGATGCCCTCTCACATTTGCTGATTAAATCAGCTATCACGGAGCATTCTCTAACATTAGCTCTAGCAAACAATAAGCTGTCACCTACAAAAATAAATGTGATACTCTAGGGGCTCCCCTACAAACCTTCACTCCAAGAATCAGATTTTCATGAGCTTCTTTGGGTATCAAAGTTGAAAAAGCATCGGCAACCAAGAGAAACAAATAAGGAGATATGGGATCACCTTGCCACAAACCTCTGGACGAAATAACAAAACCTGAAATCTTCACATTAATCTTGAAAGGAAAAGAAACGCTCGAAAGACAATCTATTATCAATCGAATCCAGTCACCACAAAAATCCATTTTGTACATAACTTTTTTAAGAAAGATCCATTCAACCCTATCATAAGCTTTTGCCGTATCCAATTTCATGGCAATAGAACCCGTCTTACCTACCCTCCTCCTCTTCATAGCATGGAAAACCACAAAAGCGACTTGGGCATTAGCTGTAATTAACCTTTTCGGGACAAAATCACTCTGATTGATAGTGATAATGTCACCCAGAATAAGTTTCAGTTTGTTTGCCATAGTCTTGGATATAATCTTGTAAAGCACATTACAGCAACTGATCGGACGAAATCTAGTAATACGTTGAGGATTGTTGCATTTCGGAATTAAAACAACACAAGTTTATTAACCTTTGATAAGTTCACCAATCTACGCCACCAATTTTTCACGAAAAAAAAAAATAAAAAATGTCCGGACCAACAATATGCCAAAATTTTTGAAAAAAAATAAGGGGTGCATACCATCGAGCCTTGTTCGGGTGCATTTGGAAGAGGGCGTGTCTGATATCCTCGTCCGAAGGTTCTGCAGTCAAGAAATCATTCATTCTATCTATGACTACCTTTTCGATCCCTTCTAGAGCTTGCTCAAAATTGGTAGGTGATTCAGAGTGAAACAACACAAGAAAATATTAGCCCACCAAGTTCTCTAGATCTTCCTTAGTTTTGGGCTACACACCACCATCATCAAGTAAGCCCTGCATACTGTTAAGGTGTTTGCGCTGACTCGCCTTCTGGTGGAAATAAGAAGTATTTTTGTCCCCGTCTTTTAGTTCATTCACCCTTGCTCGAGCATGCCAATACGAGTCCTCCAACCTATGCAAGTCGTCCAGCTCTGCAGCCAGAGATGAGCACTCATGTAACATGTGCGCATCTGGGGTTCTTCCCTGAGCCGTTTGCAACTTCTTTTCGATATCTTTTATTCTCCTTTTAACATTACCAAAACAGGTAGCAGCCCATGAAGAAAGCTTATCCGCGCATACTGATAATCGTGTAGTTGTTTGCTCACCGATACAGCTCGCCCAAGCCTTAACCACTACCTCGCCACATTCCTCACTGGACAACTAGAAAAGCTTTGAACTTAAACATTTTGCCTTTCTCCCCTTTTTCATAGTAGTTGCTAGCCGCTAACATAATTGGTGCATTTTCTGATCTATAAATTGGAAAATGACGCACATCATACAAGCGGAACAGAGAACACCAGTCTGGATTGCCTAAGAATCTATCAAGACGCTCCTTCAAATAAGTCTCCAGGAATAGCCCTCGATACCACGTAAAAATGCTGCCTCGAAAACCCAAATCTCTCAACCCACAATCATCAATAGCTCCCCGGAAAGCATCTATATGTCTCTCTTCTCGAGGCACTCCACCATCTTTCTCAGCCAAACTAACTATTTTATTAAAGTCTCCAAACATAATACATGGTTTTAAACTCTCAGCCTTCAGACGGGACATCAAAGACCAAGTAAGATATTTATTTTCCCGTTCTGGCAACCCATAAACCCCTACAGCTCTCTACATCGGATTGTTGTTCTGATCACAAATATCAGCCACAAAATGATGAGCAGAAAAAAGTGGTCGACACGTTAAAATCCCTCCACCAAAAAAGCAATGCCACCTGAATTTCCTACGCTACTAAGACACACACCATTTACAAAACCACCAATATTTCGAATTCTTTATAAAGCGACAATGTCTAACATTGTTTCCATTAAGAAAACAATATTTGGCCTTTCTCTCCAGCACCATTCTTGGAGAGCTTTTACTGTCCAAGGGTTATCAAGCTCCTGGCAGTTCCAACTTAAAATTTTCATGGTTGTTCGAGGGTTTGGTCATCACCAAAATCCTCTACTTGATTTATCCCGTCTCCGACACTAGTTGAAAAATCCACTTTCACTCTTTTCATTATACCTAAACCAAATCTCAGGTCAACAAACTGAGAGGTCTCCACATGAGCCCTTGTTACACCATTCCTACTATCACACTCCATAATACTTTTATTTTCCATAACACTTTTATTTTCTGTAGGGACGATAATGCATGGGATGACTTTAATTCATTGTGCTTTATTGTATATCTATATTAATTACTTGCACTTCTCACATTAGTAGACTTGGCAATCCTGACCCAAACCCGATGACCCTACCCAAATAACCCGACCCATGACCCGAAATCAACCCAAAAACATCAACCCGACCTGACCTGTACCCGACTTGAAAACGGAGTGACCTGATCATGACCCAACACCCGAACTAACCCGACTCGATTTTACCCAAACAGAAGTTTACCTAATACTCGAAATGACCCGACTCGAAATTGACGCGACCAAAAGTTGACTCGATGTGTTTGACCCAAACAGACATGATATTCGAAATGTCCTGAACGAAAATTACCTTATAACTGAACTAAAAACATCTGGCGCCAAAAATGACTCAAATTGTTCATTTCCAACCGTAGCCAATCTCATAAACTGAATTGATGGTTCTTATTATTATAATAATATTAAAATATAAAATTATCAATTTGAGTTTGATCCACAAATGGAACAACCCTAACATGAAACGACTCTATTTTGACCCGACCCGAACATACTCAACCCAAAAAATAAAATGACCCGAACAGAACCGACCCGAAATTGACCCAACCCAAACTTGACCCAATACCTGACCCGATTCATACACGAAACCCGAATTGACCCGACCCGTACCTGAACCGAATGTTAGCTAACTCAAAAGTGACCAAATCCAGACCCGACCCGAATGATCCATTTGTCAAGTCTAGTTATGAACCTCTTGCAAACAAACTAGGTCAAAAATTGGTTAAATATATTAGTAAACAACTCATTTAATATATATATTCGTAAACAACTCATTTAGTTTGTTTGTCAGCTTGTTTACGTTTTAATAAATATATTAATATATAATCTCCACCATTGGATCAAGATATGGAGGGTGGAGATTACGTGATTTATGAATGTCTATTGAGGGAAAAAAAACGCGCGAGCTCCTCATAATTGCTTTTAATTCCAAGTCTCTATACATGACTTTCTCTCTCTACTTCATTCGTTTCTCCCTCCTGTTTGAAGCTCCATCACTATGATTGTACTTCAACTTTCTCTTAAATCATCAATCAAATCACATTAGCTCAAGATTTTGAATGCAAGATTTGTTGAATGTGAATTACACAGATTATATTTGGAGGTAAAAGTTCTTGAAAATCATAATTGTTGGTTTAATTTTTTTGATTAATTTCATAATTGTGCTAAACTGATGGAGTAGTTATATTTTAAGATTGTTAAATTCATTATGAATTTAGTTTGATTGTTGAATTGCAGTATGGATAACCGAGTTGTTGTCTAAAATTACTGCATACTTAATCTAGGTTTTGATTTTTCCTCTTTTGCTATATCAGTCAAAATTGTAATTTTTATTGCTTCTCCTAATTGATGCTTAATTGATTTAGATTTTATTTTAGCTTGCTGTAATTGTTGCTCATAATCAAGGTATGTAATCAATTGTAGTTATCATGATATGCTTAGTTTTTTTGGGTAAATTTTCATCAATTGTCAAAAGTTTTCCAAAATATTATTAGTAGAGATCAAATCTTAAAATGTTTGGTGCAAAATATTCATGTCAGCTATTTCGATTACTTAAAAAAAAATTGGCAGTGGAACGTCAATGCAATCAATTGACTTTGTGAAAGACTATGGAATTTAATTGAAATATTGTGCAGGTGATGTATTTTAGTATAACTGATTTTTGATGTACCTATACTAAATAGTGGATGTATCCGCAATGTATTGTTATTGTACCTAAACTAGTCTTTGATGTATCTATATAAAAAGTTTGATGTATCTGCATTGTTTTTTTTTTTTTTTTGTTTAAATGTATCTCTAATGTTTAGTCGATATACTTGCAATATATTTTCAATGTATCCGATTTTTTGATGTACCTAAAATAAATATTCGATGTATCCATAATGTATTTTTATTATTTCTAAACTTATTTTGATGTATCTATACAAAAGTAGTTGATCTATTAGCATTGTATTTTTAAAGTATCTCTAATGTTAAGTTAATTTAGCTGTAATATATTTTTAATGTATTTGATCAGAGAGAGAGAGATTGGATCATGTGAAAACAAACCTAAAGCTGAAAACTGAAAACAGATGATCTGGACTATTGAATTTTCATCTGACGGATTAGATTACATTCGCGTTATTTGTAATCTTGTCCATCCATTCTCTCTGCTCTATTTTTATCTTTCTTCAATCTCACGATCTCACTGTTTCTCTCTCCTTCTCCCAAAAAATCATCAAATTTCAGAGGAATTTGCTTAAATCTTCATCAATAATTTGCTTCAATCTTCATCAATTTCGTCTTTAGCTTCAAAGTTAAACCTGAAAAGTGAGTTTTGCGTTTCAACAATCAATTATGCGAGTTAATCATTTTCGTCACTGAATATTCATCCCATTGAAGCAAGTTTTAAGCTTTCTCCTCCATTGAAGCGAGTTTGAGCTTTCTCGATCCTCCATTGAAGCGATTTCTTCCACCTCTTTCGTTATTTTTGTTTTTCGATGGTCTAGGTTAAATTGCTTGTTTTTTTGATTTTATTACAGTAGTTGTTAATCGATTTGCTAATTATCGCTAATCGATTCGTTGATTATTGCTACTCAATTTTTTTAGTTGCTTATTTATTTGATTTTTTTTTGTGGGTGTCGGTGGTTGTGGTGGTCTGGGTTTGGGGATTTTGGTGGTGTCGGTGGCGGTGGTGGTCTGGGTTTGGGGTTTCGGTGGTCTGGGTTTGGGGGTTTCTAGAAACCCGGCAGAGGCTGAGCTCTTGTAAGATATTGGGAAGCAGGGGACACACAAGCTTGCTGCTATCTTAGGGGACATTGGAGAATTGCTCAAAGGTTCCTGCAAATTCGAGTTCAGCTATGTTCACAGAGAAGCCAACGAAGTGGCTCATTAACTTGCGCAAATGGCAATTGAAATGGAGGGAGATATAGTCAAGCACAACAACATTCCGACTTGCGCTAAGAATGCTTATGAAAATGATATGGTGGAAAGCTGCATCTAAGCTGACATTGGGTTTTGTTGGATTGAAGTAGAACAAGTTTCTTATTTGCACTCGTATGGTTTTTTTTATTTTGGAGCTGCTATAATTGCTCCCTTGAACTCTTTGTGGTTGATTGATTAAGCAATATGATTTTCCTTATTTAATCTTTACGTAAATGTTGTCAAAATTGACGTAGTTACCTTATTTTTATATATAGCGACCTTTATTTTTGTATATAATGACCTTTATGTAAATGGTGTCAAAAACTCAGTCGATATAGTTACCTTATTTTTGTATATAGTGACCTTAATGTAAATGTTGTAAAAATTGATATAGTTACCCTATTTTTGTATATAGTGACATTAATGTAAATGCTGTAAAAATTGATATAGTTACCCTATTTTTGTAAATTATTACGTTATTTTTATATATAGTGACTCTACGTTATTTTTTTTTTAAACCGTTAGATCTTGTTAGTAATAATGGATGGTTGAGATTTTCTGTTTTTAGTTTTCACTGTAAGCCTTGTTTTCAGCGGAACCATGTATATATATATACATATACATATATATATATATATATACATATATATACATATATATATATATATATATACATATACATATATATATATATACATATATATACATATATATATATATATATATACATATATATATATATATATATATATATATATATATATATATATAATGAGAATTAAGAACCAATCTCAGCCGTTGATCGCGCTCCATCTGATGGCTCACGTTTCACCCACCCTCATTAATGGCATTTTCGTAATTTTGCAGCTTTTCAAACTTTTTTCCAGTTTTATTAACTTTTCAGCCAATTTCATTTACTTTATGACTGATTCCATTTACTTTTACTGATTTTTTATTTACTTTTTAGAAATAAAACTGGAAACTAATTTGTAAAGTGGAAATATTACGAAAATACCATTAATGACACTAGAAGTATGTGGACCGTCTGATTAACATAATCTAAGCGCCTAGATTAATTCCTAGTTCTTATTTTGGCCTTGGTTCTCATTATAACTTAGTTCTATATATATATTAAAGCCATAAAAACATATGGAACTTAAAACTACTTAACTGTCGTTGACCTCGTTGTATATATATTTTTTTATAAGAATTCAAAATTTTCATTACACATGAAAATTTGGTCATAGCATAGAACACTTTTTTTATAGAAAGATTGGGATCAGAAAAAACTTAAATTAAATTAAGTTAAAGTTAGCTCAATGCTCATTTTAAAAACTTTAAATTGTTTTTAAAAGTTTGCTCAATGCTCGTTTTTATAAAAGGTTGATTTAAGCTCGTTCAAACTTGAACTAAAACTCAAAATGCAAATAAGTAAGTTCGTGAACATGATCAAGCAGCCAAATTATTAACAAGACAGGCTTGAACAAGAATTTTCAAAACCCTTCGAGCTCAAATTAACTCAAATGACTGACAATTTTTTTATCAAGATTAGATGGAACGAATAGATTAAAATTTTGCTCAGTGTGACTCATTTGCAAAGCTAAAAACAAATCAATCGGCTTTCTTTTTATCTTTTTACTTCAATATACCTTTCTTCGGGCTCCTCAAAAACTATTTTGATTTTGTTAAAAGAAGATTGTGTTCTTATAATTTCTTCTAGTAAACTATCCTTTTAAGATGGAAATGATTACTGCACGGTTTTGATCCGGAAGAAAGTAAAAAAGAAGACCAATAACTTAAATTAACATTAAAAACAAATGCAGCTTTTCCTAGTTAGTAACTTTTTATTTGTCATGTAAAATTGTAAAGTTACTCAAATCTAAAGCTAAAGTTAGCAATAAATCTTCGTTAAAATTGAGTAAAAATTGTACTAATAAGGCCTAGTATGATTTTTGAACTTGTAAAAAATCAATAAAAAGGGAAATTCGAAATAGTATTTGACTCTTTAAATTTTCCCAATGAGGATCTTTGTATTTATGCTTTAGCTTATAACTTTGCTAGCCTTTTTTTTTTTTTTTTTTTTTTTTTTGTGTGTGCTAATAATCATGATTCATCTTTGATCTTTTAATTTAGGAAAATGCTATATGTAGTCATAAGGGCTCTGTATAAACAGTTAAAGAGGATTATTAATGAAATATATTCATTAATTACATTGATTTGCGCGTGATTTTGTCATGCATTCCTAAACTAATACAGTACTAAATAAGGAAAGCTATTTAATGCTTATTTGTACCCCTAAAGGCTACATATAGCATTATCCTTTTTATTTATAGTTTTTCATAAAATCATAGGCTTTCTTCTCTTCCTAATATTTATTTTATTCTACTTAATATTTTTTTTTTTGAAACATTATTCTAATTAAATTAAAGATGCCTAGTTTCATAACTTTCATTTCACTTTCAGATGATCTGATGATTTCCATCAAGAAATTTTGTAGCCTATATATTTACCCTAACTTTCCTCCATGGTTTTACTAGTTTATATTAGTCATCCACGGTCAATCTTGGGAGCACCTGTAAAGCTGTAAACAAATGGAAAAAGAATACAGTAATAATATTTATTTTACTAAAGGAAAATTTGTCGAAAAGAAAGGCCTGGAGTCTTTTTTAATATCCCGTGCCTATCACGTGTCGGTCAACTCTAACAAAATGGAGTAAAGTTACCCCTAAATAAAGTTAAAAGATGTCTTAAATTGATCGATATACATTAATATAATTGTAAATTGGGTGTACATAAAGTTTTTGTTAAATAAAAATAAAGTGGTGTATTTAATTATATTGGGACGGATGAAGTATATGGTTCTCCCCGTACAAGAAGGTGAAGAGAAACAAATAGAGCAATCAGCTTTTTAAATTGTAGCATTCATGCACAAAGCATCAAAAAGCCATTTGATACTCTCAAGTCTCAATACATATAAAAGTAAGCACATAAAAGATAATGAAATTGACATATTGGCCCTTTTTTTCCATACTTGCCCGCCAATAACTATCATTTTTTAGTCATTTCCAAACGCATTATCAACAAAAAAGAGTGTTATGAGTACCATCATTTTTCATCTATTCACATTACAATTTACAGATGTACCTATCTACCTCTATATATATACTATAACAGAGGACACTCAACTTAAAACTGACACATGTTGCTTTTATAATGAAAATTTTCCCGCCTAGTAACATAAGATTACTTATGGTAATTCTAAAGTTTATTGTAGTATATTAATATGCAATCTAAAATAATCTTTTTAGTTAGTAATAATCACTAATCGATCTCATTAAATTGACAGTAAATAATGTATAGGCTATCTTATATAACTAAATAGGGTAGTAACAACAATAGATATACTTCGTATTATATATATAAAATGATATCATAGATTTTAGTTAACAAAATAATGCATTTGAGTGTTGTATATAAATTATAAAGATTCCTAATAGTAATCTTATTTAATTAATAGTAAATAATAATGTATATGCCGTCATATATAACTAAATGTATACAAGTATTATTGTGTGATATTCTAATTTTTCAACTTTTGATTTTAGTAATTTTTCAAGAGTATTCATTATTTGATTCGTCTAATATTTATTGTGCCAATTTTAGATTTGAATTTAATAGTAATAATATTCATGAAAACAATACATATGCCAAAATGATACTTCGAAATGTTAATGTAAAAGATTCATCTAGATGAGGTAGAATATATGACTCTTAATACATAGTAAATAAATGAGTCCTACACAATAATAGACAAAAGATTCATTAACTTTAGTGGAACGCTAAACATCGCCCGCAATTTACCATATAAAGCCCACAAATATGTTATGATTTGACCATTATGCCCTTTTGCTAAAATTGAGATAATCTCGGTGTAAAAAATGTGGAGCCGTACTGGCTCGCCGGGGGAGACCGGATGGCAGGCCGGAGATGCGGGGGACGCCGGAGGTACGTCGTCGTCGACGGAAAACGAGGTAAGTGACCGCCAAAATTCACGGTTTACCGTCGTAGTGGCTCCGGCGCCTAGGGTGGACGCCCAAACCGTAGCCTGGACGTCCAAGCCGGACGCCAGAACCACCAGAGTGGCGTCCAGGCTAAACGCCCAGACCAGAGTGGCGTCCAGCCCAGACGCCCAGACCACCAGACTGGCGTCCTGGGCAGACGCCACTCCACTGGGTGAGGCGGCCCTGCCAGGCGCCAGTCCAGTGGGTGTGGCAGCCCTGGCAGACGCCACCTTTAATAATTAATTTTTATTTTTTCCTTTTTGATTTTGTTGTTGTTTTTTATTTAATTTTTTTGTGAAAATAAAAAAATCGAAAATGATTTTTTAAAAAAATTCGAAATGGGTTTTTTGTAAATTAAATTTGAAAATTCGAAATAGGTTTTTTTTAAAATTAAATTTGAAAATTCGAAATGGTATATTTTTAAATTTAGTTTGAAAATTCGAATTGGGTTTTTATAAAAATTAAGTTTGATTATATATAATTATGTTTTTTTTTGTGTTAATTATGTGGAAATATAGAAATTAAATGTATTATCCGTTAAATGTATTTATTGTAATATATAATTGATGCAGGAATATGGTGGAGACGGAAATGATTACAGTGAGATATTTGGACATGATGGTCCATTCGAAGAAGCTCAACAGGCGATTGATTGGGCAAAACAGGTTGCAATTGCAGCTGGATTTTGCTTGGTAGTAGCAACTCATAAATCTCAACGGGATGGTAGAATGGATCGCATTTTGAGATGTGACCGTTATCGCAAAAGAGAAGAAAGAGATTTTCGTACAGCCACTCGGTTTGACACAAAGCGGAAAGGTTGTGGGTGTGAGTTCAGAGTAAAGGTTCGACAACTACGGAGTCGTGACGGTTGGGAAGTGATAGGTTACTCTAAATGGGGGTATCACAACCATGAGATGATAGTATATGAAGAGGGTCATCGACAACTAAGCGGCTTAAGTCCTGCTGCGAAACTAGTTGTGAAAGAAATGAGTGATGCTCAAGTGAAGCCTGCTAAAATATTAGCATCTGTGTTAGAGAAATTTCCAGAAGACCATCCAAACCGAAGACACATCTACAACGTCAGACAGCAACTCAGGTTTGAACGGTCAGAGGGAAGGAACCCTATACAGCAGCTGCTACACCAGGCACAATCACGTGGTTACCTGTTCTGGTTTGAT